ATATAAGATTATGTATTAGATTATAATGAGGTGAGTGATGAGAATTAATCCAGGCAGAGTTACAAGTAGATTCCAGAGTGAGACAGGCTCCAGGGCAGAAGGAAGGTCTGTATCCCATTGCAGTACTGGAGCAGGCTATTCCTGCTTTCACAGCACCTTTCATTTGTACTTTCTGGATCAGTTCCTGGCACTGCCCCACACGTAGGTGTATGCAAACAGCTGAGAGGGTCAATACAAGCTGGCATTGCTGCTCAGAGCCCCAAGGAGAATAGACCTGTGGTCTAAGGTCCCTAATAACAGACTGCTCTGGAGAAGAGCGAGGCAGCTTGATCGTAGTTCCTTTGTGCTGTGGTTCCTTTGTACTGTAGTTCCTGTGATGATTAGGAAGGGTTTTATATGTCAGTATAAGACCACAGATTTATTAATCAGATTATCACAGTGTGAGTATTTCTCAGAGGATGTGAATTCATGTCAAGAAACCAGTTCCCATCCACTTTTCCTAGGAAACAAGACAGCTGTGCTATGCAATTGCTGTGGTTTGTGTACCAGTTTCAAGACAAGCCCAGGCAATAGCATATTTCCATGTTCCACCATGCATCTGAGCCTTTGTGTATTTAAGTTAGCATATATTTAAGAGTTTTCCAGCCTGGGAAGATAGAAATAAGCTGAGAGGAAGCCAAGTGGTGCACTCTCCAAAGCGTTTGGGCAGACAGTTTTCCAACTCTGTTGCACACTGTGATTTTCACATCTCCTGCATTGGACTTGCAGAACCTGAGCTTTATTGAAAACACCATTTTCCTGTAGTCTGCTATTGGGGTGTTCTAACAGATCTGGTCAAACTGAGTAAGTAGTTCAAAATAATTCCAGGTTATTTACATCTCTTCTCTGCTTGCAGTAATTGATGTTTAGTTTTGTTGTCAGAGAGCTAAAATATTCCTATTTTAGAGACAAAGAAAAAAAACCAAGGACTAAGCACACATAAATTTCCCTCAAATCAATGAACATTGAGCTTTAATTTCCTTTTTGTGCCTTTGAAAACCTTTTCCATGTGTATGACTTGCTAGATGACTCTGGGTTCTGTGCTGATGACTGCTGCAGCTAGCAGCCATGCTGCAGAAATGCACCAAATGTAAGTCACTATATATTCACTGCATTGTTCAGCCTGGAAAGCTTATAGTTATCACCCTCAAATACATGGCATTTTCTGCACAATCTTGAGCACAAAATTAAGGTTTAGAAATGTATGTGGTTGCTATGTGGAAAAGTTGGTCTTTCCTGTATTAATGCATCTAAATACGCAAATGCTTATTTAAAAAAACAAAAACCTGAAGTTCATGTTTCACGCTTTAAGTGGTCTGGCCAAATGTGGCTAGATTTCCTTTAAAATCAAATGAACCCAATGCATCTCCCAGAGCCCTGCAGTATGAATGCTAAAAGGATTAAAGCTAGTTAGATCACACCACTTTATTTTGCTCTTTACAAGAGCCATGTTAAATCCAAGGCTTTATACCCTTTGTTTGCAAGATATGGCTACATGGCAGGAAATTACATAATTTAGCCTCTGCCATGAAGAAAAATACTCTTTTGTGCTCTGCTTTGGAGTCAAATACACAAAGAACTGTATTTTCTCTCATTCTTTCCTACTGAAATCTTTTTCATTAAAAAGAAACAACATACAAAAATGATGTAATAAACACTATAACGATAATATAAATATTTGAGTGGAAAACAGCCTTGTAGTAGCTGCTTGAAAAAGGCATCTGACCCACACAACCCTTTCTTAGCATTGCAGCACTGTTTGAAGGCAAAAGAAAATCAGGGGCTATTGTAGTATTGCTTGTTATGGGACTCTCAAAGCTGTCCACAATCTGGACAGAAAGGGAATGGAATGAACAGTGTAAATAAGAAATCAGCATAAAGAGTAAAGAGCTCAGTAGGTTTTAAAAATGAGTTACTATTAACCACTTGAAGTCTTTTAATAGAAATAAATTATTTTAAAATGCTTTGGGAATACTCAGTAGCCCTTTACGGTTGTTCTCAGAAGAAATGGAAGAACTTTCTTAGGAGAAAGAAATAGTGCTGTATAATGCAAAGTTTGCAGCCAACTAAGCCTGGCACTTTCTGTTATAACAGAATGAAAGTTAAGCATCAAGATGAGGGGCTATGATCTGATCTCTATCATTTTTTTAAAATTGGTTTTAACTCAGCTCTCCTGACCCCACCAAAAGACCCAGGCGCTCACCCAGGGCCAGACGGCAGCTCCAGAGGTACTGCTGGACACATTCTGAATTCCACTTCATCAGCCTTTCCATCACAGAGCTAAAGCGCTGTTAGCATCGAAGAAAAAAGCCACATGCAAGTGATTATTTTGAAACAGAATCCATCTAGTGTAAAACTTGCTGACATGCAATAGCCCCAACATCACCACAGCAGCAGATATTACAGATGGAAAACAACTTCTGCTAACATATTTGCTAAGGCTCCATTCATGTTAGTGTTAAATATTTCAGTGAAGTCTAGTGGAAACCTCTGGGCAATTACTCCACTGTTTATCAGATGTATCAAATTAGTAAAGTCTAAAGTATTTATCAGTTCTATCTTGTCCTCTCTGTCCAAACTATGGCCTAATTTTGTCTTTCATCTCACACTGGGTTTTGTGTGTGTGTGTGATTTCCTATGCAAAGAAACATCCTTTTTCCTTTTTCTCTTTTTTTTCTTTTTCTTTTTCTTTTTCTTTTTCTTTTTCTTCTTCTTTTTCTTCTTCTTTCTCTTTTTCTTTTTCTTCTTCTTTCTCTTTTTCTTTTTCTCTTTCTCTTTTTCTTTTTCTATTTCTTTCTCTTTCTCTTTTCCTTTTCCTTTCTCTTTTCCTTTTCCTTTTTCTATCTCTTTTTCTTTCTCTATCTCTTTTTCTTTTCTTTTTCTTCTTTTTCTTCTTTTTCTTTTTCTTTTTCTTTTTCTTTTTCTCTTTCTTTTTTTTTTTTTTTTTTTTTTTTTTGCACTAAACGAACACATTACTATTGTGCATGTCAGCTTACCATGCATAACAGAAGAGGTCAGATTTAGATATCCCACCTCTTGGCCTTTCATCTCCATGCTTGGCCTGCAGAGGAAAAGCATCTTCCAGCAAAGTTAGCAACATGAATTATTCAGCTTTCTTTAACATGTAGTTCATAATCTTTCTGCTTTTGCACCTTCTCCTGGTAATGAAGTACAGCCCCTGGAATACAGCATACTTTCTTTGAGTGGGGAAAAAGTGACTGATACTCTCTTTTTCATTGCAAAAGAAGAAAGAACATTCAGAAAGAGCATATACATTTATTAGAAAAGTATGTGGTGTTCCTACAGGGTAACACAATACCCCTGCCCCAGCTACAAATAAAGCGCAAGTGAGGACAGCAGGGAGGAGGCTGCAGGAAGGACAGAAAAAGCTGTATTTAAACAGTTGTGTTTGCTTTTCTGTAGGAAAAAAATACCTCAGAGAGCTCTTTTCTGCCAGAACACTGGCACTTTGCAAATGCTGCCAACACATACCCTGTGAGCAAGCCAGCTGACATCAGCTGACAAAGAACATGGTGGGACTTTGGACATTTTATCCATTCCCCTTCAAACAGATGCCTTTATCAAGGCTGTTTGACCAGGACAAGCCCATGAGTAAATACAGGAGCCTACTTAAGGAAGATGTGTTGCAAGTCCATGGGATCTAAGTTGGATGGCACCATAGTAATGGGATTATGTACCTGAGCTTAAGATCAGATCAGGTTTGCAACCTCTCTCCCAGATTAAATGGTTTTTTTTCTATATTGGATGCTTCGTGTTGTAAATGCGCTCCTGGCATAAGGGAATGCCATTCCCGTTGCTGCCTGGGGATTCACCACAGCATTTGCGTGAGGAAACCCAATAAGACATGACCTGTAAGGCATTTTCATTGGAGATGGCCAATTTAGCCTTGCTGCCCAGAACAATTTGAAATCCTGGGCCCTTTTCTGTAGAGCTGCATTGCAGCTATGAGGCCCCAACATGCCCTGGTGCCTGGAGTTGCTTGTTCTCAGGTGCCAGGACTCTGCATTTACCCAGGCTAAACTATCTTTTAAAACTTTTCCGTTCTAGATTTTGCACAACAGGATGAATTGTGAGGTGCGTTTATGCAAATTCCAATGAGCTAAACTGGCCTGGGTGCTGTTATTCTGGCTCTTTATGCTAGCTGTTCTTGCCCTAATGAAAAAACAGCAGTCCTTAGTGGTAGAGAGTAATGAAAGCCACCAACCTGGGGAGATAGTTTCCCAGTATCTTTCAGCAGTCATCAGGCATTTTCAAAAAACAAGTATTGTGCAAATCAGAGCATTTCTAGACAACGCTGTGGCTGGCAGTGTCTGGAGCTAAGGTGGCCAAGAAATGAGATAACAGCCCTGTGGCCTGCTCATTGCTTTTGTGGTAGAACGCCTCCAGTTTTTTGGGAAGAAGGTCTCACCTCTGAGGAAGAAAGGAGCTTACCACGAGATTTTCTTGCATTGTCATTTTTGAGAACTGGAACTGTTATTTGCCAATTTAGGGAAGAGCTGTACCATGACCCACAGCAACTTGCTGATCTGGCTGAAAGCAAACCCTCAAAAAAGAAGCTGCAGATCCTGCTAGTGTCATTGAGCAGACCCTGTGCAATCATTCCACCAGAACCAAACCACTTCCACCCAGTGCTGCCCAGACACCTCAAGGAGGAGAGCAAGGCTTTCCCTGCCCTTCTCTACTTACATAAACGCAACAACAAATCCCAGGACTGCCTCCCTGGCAGGGATGTATTACTGTCCCACAGCCACACATGCACAAGGGAACTTGAGACTGAAAAAAGACTCAGAAATGGAATCTCTGCTCGGATTCTTCTTTAACATGGCAAGTTCATACCTGTATCTCAACATTTTTTAACCACACTTCCAGAACCAAAGAACACTGATTTTGTTTTGTTTTTTTTTTAAAAAAAAAAGACCAAAGTCAGGACAGAGATGTGTTCCAGTCTCTATACAGAAAGTCTGCTGAACAAATTAGAACATCTCTAACAAAAACTATGGCCTTTCACATCACTCAAGCAAAGGCCATTCTGGTATGGACCCAACTGTAATATAACAGAATTATGTTCATGAGAGTTCAGTTCTTGGAAAATCAGATCTTCACTGATGCACTGCAAATGTGTTTGAACCCTTCCTGTTTCACAGGGTAATAGCCACGTAATTAGGCTAAGCCTTTCACACTTTCTCTTTTAATTCATTAGATTTATTTACCAAAAATCATTGCATAGATATGCCCAGTAAATATCTTAGAGATCTGTGTGAAACTAGCTAAAAGCTTAAATATGGAGCTTCTCTCTTCACTGCATTCAGGCTTCCATTAAAACTGTAAGTTCCTCAGACATCATGGCCTGCAGCCCCCCATAAATCCTCTGCTTGACACCCTGAATGCACCATGGAGGCTCTAATACACATTACCCAAAAAGAGCTACTATAAAATTCCTGACCTTTTCTTGTTTGTGTGACAAAGGGAGAATGCCAACTCCACCAGTCGGACCAGATAATCACTCTCCTGTGAAAAGCCTACAATCCACATCCTCTGTTTTCTTCTTCACTGAACTTCCACCGCATTTGCTCAATCATTTTTTTATGTGTGAAGTCCATAAATCACCATCCAATACACATAAGACAAGGAAGAGATTTCATCCTGGTAGTTCAGATATCAGCCACAGGAGATGTCACATCTTGTATCCAGAAGTGCCGGGTGCTGTGGTGTTCTCAGGCATTATCATCTCTTAATGCAGGTTTATTTCAGCAGCCCTCACTATACAGCAGGACCAATCGCTTGAGTAAAGATAAAATGGACAGACAAAGGTCTACAGGACATTTTCTGCAAAAGGCTCAACAGGCAGAACAGGCAGTATCAGAGATGCTCAGTCAGGCTCTTTCAGAACCTTTGCCCTCCTCCTTGCCCAGGAAGTCTGCCTCAGCTCATACTGCCTTCAGTGGGAGATGAATTGCACCCAAGGCTTTTGTAAGAGCTCAGTACTTTGGGTCCTGCAGCCACAGGACACAGGGCATTCAGCCCATACGCTGGGTGAAAATGGACTGCTTCTTCCTCATTTACAGAGACAGAAGTAGTTCAAAGATCTGTTGTTGATAATGAAAGTATTTTGTACTTATGCTCCAGACATCCCATGCTTCTTCCTGCTGGAGAAGGATGAGAATCTGCCCCAAATGCTGAGTTCCTCAAGAATGTCACTGCTCAAGTTTTATTTTTTCAATTATCTTCTCCTTTTCTCAGTTTTAAAAACATGCCAGCAAAGGCCAAGGAAGTCAAGGATGTGAGCTCCAGGTTTTAAGATTACTTCAAGGCAAACAGCAGCCTCCTGCACCCAGCCTCCCTTCACCTTTACTCTTCAGAACACCAACAATTATTATTGGGGTTGTGGAGAAGCAGAGTGGTTTCTTGTGTTCGCTGAGAGATTATCTGCCTGAAAATAAAGCCATCTGCTCTTAAGCACAGGCATTATTCAGCCCACATCTAAAATGCCAGGATTGTGCCTCTTCTGCTTACCTCCCAGTGATCTATAGGCAATGTAAAAGGCCATAACCCATCCAACCACCTTGATTCAATGCTATGATCATCTATTCAGAGATCATAATGGAATCTGCCCTCCCCCTTCTCCCCCCCCGATATTTTAAATTATTTTGTAATGCCCACCATAAAGGCAGATGTTCTGCTGGAACTTTATTCTCCTGATAGATACTGGCCACTTCAGGCAGCAGCTCCATCGATGTGTGATGCTGCTCACTCAGGGGATTTTTAGGCAGAAGTTTACAGGGAGTTAAAAGAGCAGGGAAATGTCTTCCCGGTACAGGAATCTGGGAGCTCCCCTAAGCCCCCAATGCCTGGTGGTGTGCGGAGGTGTTAAACTGGCATGTGTCTATCGAGGCGGGGGTGAGCCTTTTAAGTCCCCTGCTTCTTCCCCACTTGTGGAATTTGTTGTGCCAGTGGGATGAGGCTGGCTATAAAACCTCTGTCCCACTCCACAGCCAGCGAGTGCATCGCAGCCCCGCTGACATCCCTGTTCCTCCCTGCGAGCCACCAACAGGGCAGGATGGAGGCAAGCTTCACCCGGATGCTCTATGTGCTCTCTCTGGTTGCCATGGCCTATGCCTTCACCCAGGAAGGGTTCAAGGAAGTGATGCTGAAGCAGTTGGGGCTCTCTGAAGTCCCTAAGCTTCATAAGAGAGACCTGGTGGACCTGGTCATCCCTGAGCATGTGAAGAACAAGTACATCTCCATGCTGAAGCGGCACAGGGGGAAGCGTCGTGCTGCTCCCAGCTTGGCCAGCATCCTGCAGGGGATCCCCGGAAATGCAGGTAACACCCTGGGCAGGGCAAGCCACAGGGAATGGGGCTGGGGTCAGGCTCTGAGAGGGAGCAGGGTGGAAAAAATGTATGTACCCCATGATCCTGGAAAAGGGTGGGTGATAGAAAAAACCAGGCCAGGCACATAGCATCCTGGGCAGTGAAGGCAAACTGCCTGCAAATTATTGCAATTTGTGTGGTTTCCTGATACCATGCACTGCACTGGCACAAAGGGACACATGCTTTTTGGTGCTTGCTCTATTTAGGATGAATTACACATAGGAGATTTCTTCCTATTGTCCCCACATTGCTGTTTCAGATCTAGAGGAATTAGTTTATTCACAAGATACTAAGTATGTGTTAGAAAAAGTGTGTTTAGGGGCTGTCTCTGCCATAAGGGATCATGTTGGAGCAAGCAAGCAATGTGCTGTGATAACTGTGGATGAAATGCAGAGGATAGCAATGACAGCATGTCTTTTTGTCTCTACATCATGGGCAGAAGTCTTCTACTCTGATCCCATGCGCCAGAACTTCATCTTTGACATGGAGGGAAGGATACCAAAAAACAGTGAAGTGACAATGGCTGAACTGAAGCTTTTCAAGAAGCCCTTGGATAGAGTGAACCTGCCAGCCAGGCAGCCCCATCGGCCCGTCTCCAATGCCAGGGTCAGCATCTACTGGGTGCAGAGACAGCATGATGGCACAAACAGGACCTCACTGATTGACTCCCGGTAAGTGATGGGGAGTGTGGAGCTGATGAGAGCAGACATTAGATTAAGGCTGCAAATATGCAATGATGCACTGAAGTGATGCATTTCTGTGCCAGATGATAGGCTGCATCTCTATTAATAGAACCACAGAATCAATCATAAAATCATAGAATCACAGAATCACTGTATGGCTTGAGTTGGAAGGGACCTTGAAGATTATCTAGTCCCAACCCTCCTGTTGCAGGCAGGGTAGCAAGACCCAAAATCAGGCACAGAATCAGGCTGCCCAGGGCCCCATCCAACCTGGCTGTGAACACCTCCAGGGATGAGGTATACACAGCTTCTCTGGGCAGTGTATTCCAGTGCCTCATCACCCCCTCAGTGAAAGCCTTCCCCTGACATCTATTCTACTCACATCTCACTCCTTTTAGTTTAAAGTTTTTAGTAGTTTATTCCTACTCATCTCACCCTCTTTAGTTTAAAACTAGTCCTCCTTGTCCTATCACTATCAGCTCCCTTTAAGTACTGGAAGCTCAGCTGGCTGGTGACACAAGCACTGCATATAACCTTGCACTGTGTGAACAAATACCTTGGCACAAGGGTTTTTATTTCACCATTCAATGCTATTAGCCTTGCATGCCTTGCGGGTCCAGAAAGGTTGTGGAGTCTCCTTCTCTGGAGATACCCAAAGCACGCCTGTATGCTTTCCTGTGTGACTGCTGCAGGAAACCTGCTTTAGCTTAGAATTGAAGGGATCCAGAGGTCCCTTCCAGTCCCTATGGTTCTATGTTCTTTTAAATAGTTAATTGCTGTGGATACTTGCCCAGAGCTGCTCAGCAAGAGTTATCATATGATCAGGGCACATGACAATGCACAGGAAGCAAATTATTCCACAGCAAAAAAAAGCACATATACAACGAGCTTTGTATGATGGGCTTCTCTCTGCCTGGCAGGCTGGTTCCCATAAAAGAGTCTGGCTGGAAGAACTTTGATGTGACGCAGGCTGTGCACTACTGGCTGCGGAACAAGAGGCAGGAGCCAATGGTCCTGCAGGTGTGGATCGAAGGGGAAATGGTGGGCAGCTACGCTGCAGAGGTTGCCAAAGCCGTGAGCTTCACCTCACAGGATGCTGGGGACAGAGCTGTGGGAAGACCCGAGCTGGTGCTCTACACCCTTGACTTGGAGGACTATGGGTGAGTACAAACCTGCATCCATGCAGCTTTGTCCCTACATTACTGCACTCACTTTGTTGCCTGAATTTTCAAATGAAACCCGAGCGTGGTCTGAGCTTCCTAGCTCAGGGCTGTGCCATCAGTCTTCCCTATTTGCTAACATTTCTCCCATCACACACAGGGGCCCTGGGGACTGCAAGGATGGAGCGCAGGCAGGAAAGTCCACCTGCTGCCGGCAGAAGCACTACATCAACTTCCGTGAGCTCTCCTGGACGCAATACTGGGTCATTGAGCCGGCAGGATACCAGGCTTACAGCTGCCGGGGGGGCTGCCTGCAGCTTCCCGGCCCACTGCAGCGCTGGGGAGGCAGGGAGCGTGCCTGTGCTGTGGCTGAAAGCTCCCCACTCCCTATCATGTACCTGGTCCAGAGGGGCAACCACACTGAGATTGAGGCAACTGAGTTTCCCAATATGATCACTGAGAAGTGCAGCTGCATGGCAGATGGTGCAGCACTTCTGTGAGGGACTGACTTAGGGGAGGAACGGTGCTGGTGGGTCTGGAGGAGGTGCACCTCCCTAGGTTTGGTGTGGCTGCCTCTGAGTAATTTCAGTCCCCACTGCAGGGCACTGCATGCAGCTGCAGGTGAAAGGCAAGGACAGTGATCACAGTCAGGTGCAGAAGTCAAGCCTGGGTTTGGATTTTAGTTCCTCTGTTCCCTGTGCTTTGTACATTTTGGTCCTTGTCTGCCCCAAATTGTGTTTACTATGGATAGCAGAGCAAAAGCACTTACATGTATATGTTGTATACACACACAGATGCACATGTATAACAAATACATGTACATATATATGTATGTATTGTATACATGCATATTGTATATATACACATTTTCTACATACATACATATATGTACATAGAATTTTGCCTAGAGCTAAAATGAATGTATATATGTAAGTATGCATTGTATGCATATATCTGTAGATACACATGTACATACAATATTGTCCAGAACTCAAAGGACAGTATTGTTGGTCCCTGTACCAAGGATTTGGCAGTTTTAAGCAGAATTTAGAGTCCTGAAGCCAGTGGACATATTGGGACTTGGGTTTGCTTGCACAAACAAGTGTTTATAGATTTTTTCTCATTTTTCTGATTGTGTATTACAGTTTTTTCAACTATTTTTCTAGTCTTAATTGCTTTCAAAATTAAGTAAACAATAAAATATGATTATTTAAATAGCCATGTTTGCTTATAATTATTCCTAGGTATAAAAGTGGAAGAAAAAAATCTGTAACATTTCTGACTGTACCCCAGTTCTCAGCTTCTTCATGCACACACCCAACAACAGTCCTCAGCTGTGCATGTGTCTCTGCCTGCTCATGATAAAGATCATTTGCTTATGCAGGCAGGGACAGGGCTGAATCAGGGAGGAGCATGCACCACTGGTGCTTCTCCTCATGCAATGTCAGGTGTAATCTCCTTTTGAACAACACAGAATCATAGAAAATGCTCCTTGAACTCTGACACTGGGGCCGTGTCCACCGTCCTCTGGTGCAGACCCTTTCCCTAGCCCCCAGCTGCGGCTCCCCTGACACAGCTCCATGCCATCTCCTCACATACCTTTGCCCTTCAGACCCTTCTCCATCCTTGCAGCTCTCCTTCGGACACTCTCTAATTGATTTATGTCCTTCCATCCTCAAACAAGTACTGGGTTGCTGACTGGAGTGTCACTGATGGTAACTGACTCCTACACTAGAGTAGGCTGCACGTGGAGCGTAGCCTATGGGCCAGACATAGACAAACCTTTCCCCAAGTGCCTTGGAGATACTCAAAAGCTGTCTGGACGTAGTTCTGGACAACCTGCTCTAGGTATCCCTGCTTGAGCAGCAGGGTTATGCAAGGTGACCTCCAGAGATGGCTTCTTACCTCAACCACTCTGTAATGATGTGAAGAGGAGGACTGGATGGGCCCAGCTGTGACTTCAGCTTATCTATCAGGAAGTAAGGTGTCCCTGCCACCCTGCAGGAGGCCAGCTCTGAGGTCACCAGCCATACCTGTCTTCACCTCAGCCTGTGGATGGGCTGGTACCTCCCACCTGTGTAAATGCTGATGACAAAAAAAGAAAAAAGCTTTAAGGGGAGGAAAAAAAAAAAAGGAGCTAGGTACATATCACCAAGGGTTACCTGGGTTTGAGCAGGACAAACCAGACTGGCCTTGGCCATTTTCTTCTTACAGTTACATGGCATCTTTCTCAATGAGCATTCAGTTCTGGTTCCTACCCACCCAGGAGGGACAGGCCACAGCCGGAACCTCAGCTGTGAGGAACAAAGCAGAAGATTTATCTGCACTCATTTGGTTCTTGGGGAAGAAAGCGTTTGAACTGGTATTTGCCTGAGGAGGAAAAGCATTAACCTTGTTGTCCCTCCAGCCCAACCCATGCATCCTCCTCCCAGTCTGGGAGGAACTTGTACTATGGGGGCCAGGATGGCGGAGGGCCGGCAGCACTGACCTCTCCAACCCATCATGCCTAAATATCACAAGCACACTATTCATGCTTCATAAGACACACAGCACATGTCTCTGATGAGTCACCCTCGCTGGCTCTGCAGGGAAGATCAGCAGGGTGGGAGGTGGGTCTAAAATGAAGAAGGCTCCAGAGGCTTCTATAGCGCAAACTTGAAGGCAGAGGCTGCAGATGAAGCCCTGCTTCCTCAGACATCCCCCAGTGCCACAGAAATTATCCCGCAGCCAGCCATCTTCAGCACAGGCAGCAGTTGCTGTGATATCATGCACATGCTGTCTTGCTGCTTTTGTATTGGTACAAGCTGTAGCAGACACAAAGCCTGTTGAGCTGTCGTGTTATTCTTCCCACCAAAGCAGCAGCACAGCCCCTGAGGAAAGGGAGAACACCTTACATGCATGACAGCAGCTTGTTTCAGCATTAACAGCATTTAGGCTTCAGTAGGAAAAAAAAAAAAAAAAAAGAAAGGAGTAGTGCAGTTTTCAAGCCACACAAAATGCCCCTACCAGCTAAGCTACATTGCCCTGTCTGATCCTTCCACATTTTCATCCAAATCGAGGCTGCTCTTCTATTTTCTTTTAGAATCTATGAGAAGTTGCAGCTTTGCCCTGCTGGTGAGACCTCATTTCTGCCTCTTTTTTCCTTTGCATTTCACAAACTCCTACAAATAGCGTCTGACACTTGGCCTCTCAGGGCAGCCTAATTGCTGGTGTAAGTAGAAAGCCAAATTCCCAATCCACATCTCAACAGAGGTGATAACCAAACCAGCTCCTCTGCCCTGGTTGGGAACAGCTGGAGGCTGGGAAAGAGGGACCCAGCACAAACAGACAGGGAGTCAAGAGCTTTTCAGGCCACTGTGTGATCCCCTGAGACTTTGATATTTTTAAGGAACCATCCAATAGACTCAACATCTCGTTTTTGCCACTAACTTAATGTAAAATGAAAAGCAGCCGACCATATCCTAGGCTGCATCAAAAGACACATGGCCAGTAGGTCAAGGGAAGTGATCCTGACCCTTTGCTCTGAAACCTCACCTGGAGTACTGCATCCAGATGTGGAATCCTCAGTACAGCAGAGATGCAGACTTGCTGAGTGTGTCCAGAGGAGGGCCACAAAAATGACCCAATGAGGACACCTCCCCTATGAGAACAGACTGAGAGAGCTGGGACTGTTTAGCCAGGAGAAAAGAAGGCTCCAAGGAGACCTGAGAGCAGCCTTTCAGTATCTAAAGGGGAGCTGTAAGAAAGAAGGGGACAGACTCGTTAGCAGGATCTGGGTGATAGAAAAAGGGGAAATCCTTTTAAACTAAGGGAGATATTAAATTGGATATAAGAAGGAAGCTTTTTTACTATCAGAGTGGTGACGCACTGGCACAGGCTGCCCAGAGAGGTGGTGGATGCCTCATCCCTGGAGACATCCATGGTCAGACTGGATGGGGCTCTGAACACCCTGATGGAGCTGTAGGTGTCCTTGTTCACTGCAGGGGAGCTAGACTAGATGGCCTGTAAGGGTCCCTTCCAACACAAACAATTCTATGATTCTATGACCTCGCACTGTGTGCAGCATCATCTAAAATCACCAGAAATCCAGTGATGTTTCCAGGGAGCTGTGCAATAGCTCACAGAACTGCAGCAGAGGTTCCACGAGCCAACTGGTGCCTGATGAGCACCTCTCTGCTCTCCAGATCTCGCAGGCAGTTCTCTGAGGAGTTCTTGCTCCTTTTGCTCCCCATTGGAATCCACCAGAAGGCAGGCAGGGTTTACGATCACGCTTTTTCAAAGGGTTCCACCAGCACTGCCCGAAACAGGGCACATCCTCCTGTTAGTACACTGCCACCTACAGTAGCAAGCCTAGAAGTTGCCCTACTCAGAAAAACGAAGACGTATCTGCGTGCTGTCTGCATCACAGCGCAGGCACAGCGGCTTTACAGGAACTCATTTGTCTGCGTTGCAGAGGAAAGCAGGAAAGAAGCCTCTTGACTGAAGGCAGCCAGCTGCTCTGTCTGTTCTTTGCAAACTTCCACAAGTTCTTTTTCTATACCTCAGTTCAGGAAATGGAGATATTCAGCCCTAATCCCTAATGGGCACTCTTGTGACTATAAACTCCAGGACTTCTTACACTGCTATGAGATCCCAGGATGGAAAACATTCATGGAAAACAAAAACATTAGATGTTATTACATGATATTCAATTTCTCCGAGATGAGGGGGATGAGAAAACTAATTTTCACTTAACAGTCATTCACATTGCAGAAAGCTATCTAGACAAAATTATTCAGGTATAGCAATGAATGCTCCTCTGGGTCATCCAAACTGCTGTGAAAGCTGACCAGCAGACAGAAGCATTGCTAAAAAGCAACACAGAAGAAAACATGTTCCAATTCTGAACTTCCCAGCCAGAAGTAGATTTGTATCAAAAACATGTATTTCATCTGGGTAATCACCTGTCCCACTTCCTACTTTTTTTGTGTATGATTAATATTAAACTTTCTTCCAGATTATAAATGAATCTGCATGAAATAAAAAGCCTCGTCCTCAGGTTTGTGTCACCGGTTTCTCTAATTCTATTATCAGCTGGTAAGAGGAGCACAAGGCAGTGCTCCAGCTCTTTTACATGTTCAGGGAGAAAAAAAAAAAAAAGTAGTGAAATGACTCCTCATATAGAGAAAAGCTCTCCTCACTCATTGTGTGTATGCACAGTTATGAGAAGAGCAGTAAGAACACCGACAGTGTGCCAGTGAGGTGAGATTGCTGCCGAGATGTAACCTGTGTTGATGTGACCCCCTCACCTCTTCCCATTCTCTAATGAAACACTCAGTAAACCAAACCTTTCCATGTGAGATCCACTTGTCCTGTCACAATTCCCATACGATATGACTTGCAGCATCCTCATGCTTTTTTTGCCCTTTTTTAATTTTCTAAGTCCTTGATAAAGTATCATACATGTGAAGCATCAAACATCAACTTACCTGTCATACATTATTTTTAGTTATCTGCTGCATGTAAATCACTTCTCATCAAATAAACCACATTATTCTAACAATAAGCTGCAAAGTGACAAGTTCACAGCTTTTGGATCACATGCGTAGGGAAACAAGCTTATGCACATTTCAGCCTCAGGCGTCACAATCCATGTTTTCAGAACACTACGTCAAGTAGATCCAGGAGTGCTGGATTTGTGTATGACGGTATAATTCCCAGCAGCACAAATATCTATCTTTTTCATAATTCCCTGGGATACTAATGAGATTATTTCATGAATGCTGGTATAGAACTTCAGGATGACCAGTTGAAAGATCCAACAGGATACTGAAGATTTGCACAGAGGATCTTGTACTCCTAAGGAATGTTTTATTTAGATGCACCACACACACTTACAATTAGTGAGCAGGCTCAAATCCATCTTACAGTTAAAAAACAAATACAGGAAGCTCTTTTGACTTGCCCATCAGAGGCTGCATTATAAATTAATCCTGCACTTCCCAGTTCACACGCCTTTCCTTGGTATGACTCGGCACCATCTCCTACAAACTGGAATGAACACAGAACAGAAGCCCTGGCTGCTGGCTGTGCTGGGGATGCTCACACCTGGGCCGTCCCAAGCCCACAGCGACACCTGGAGGAACACCAGGGCTGCTCACATCGAAAATCCAGGTGGATACACCTCCAGAGCCAGAAACCCTCCATCTACATTTCCTAACCAAGTGCCTCAGGGGAGGAAAAAAAAAAAAAAGAAAAAAAATCAAGAGGGGAGCCCTGCTTTGGTTAAATGCCAGGGAGTGGATGAGGTGCGACCAAAAGTGACCTCCACAGTCCAGCCTTAACTTTCTCCAGCATATTGGCAAGTCATAGAACAGGCTGACTGCTGA